ATCAACGCTGAATATCTCTAATAGAATTATTGCCAATGATATTCAAACTTCAACAAATGAATAAAACATACTTGATGTGTTCCACTCGTTGGTGCACGTAGCCCAAGGAAGTGCAAATTTAAGAGAATTCATAAAATAGAAAATAGACCAAGCACTTAGCATATTCATATATACACAAATGATACACGATATTATCAACATTGCTATACCGATGCCTTAAACAGTTGCGTTTACATACATTAATCGACAATGAAAATAAGTAACAACGATAATCAATTTATCACAAATGACTGTTGCAACAACAGCAACGATCAAGGAATAACAATAATGATAATAGTAAGTGTTAAAAATAACAAAAGATTACCTTTAAATAAGGGTACAACTTTCCAAACGGATATACACGCAACACTAGCAAATTGACCCAAGGCAAGTTCCATAAAGAAAATCGGTAAGCCCGCAACGACGAGCATTATTACATACGGTACCAAGAAAGCACTTCCTCCATATATATAACAATAATAGGGAAACCTGAAATTCATCAAAATTACAACTACAAGTGCTTCAATTATGTAATTCAGAACTCTCGATTTGATCGTCGAATTCATTAAATTCCGCAGTCTACACGGTGATTGTTGTGAAGTACACTTAGTCGATTTCAATTCGTTGATCTCACATAAACAGTAACGAAAATATTATACGTAAAGACAATGGCAACAACAGTGATAACTGAAACAATAAAATCATTAATATTGGAAAATAAAACAAACCTCCAAATATTTCCAATATTAAAAATAAACCCAATCGTAGATAGCATATAGTCAGTTGTTGATGACCAATTACCTCTAATTTTGTTCTCGTCACCCACATCATCGGTATCTTCAAATGGATATTCGATATCGCCTTCACGGATGAATTCCGGTAGATCCACATCCAGCTGAATCAATCCACTGGCATTTATAACAAATAACACGATGTCATGAAATGAACCATCAATAAACAACTAAACAAATAACCTTTCTACAGAAGGGTGGATACAATGAATCGACAAAATTTCGTTTCGACTGAGACTGAGATGCAGTTCTCGACTCTTGCCGACTCACCGATCGCGTTTGAGATCGTCGCGTTTCTCCACCAATACTGCTACTGAACGACATCTGAATTTATCATTATTACATCCTGCATAATTATCATTTGCACTCATAAGAAACATCACTAAAGTTGAAAGTTCAGCTGATAATATTCACACATCATAAATTACTGATGAGTATTAAACACTTATACTAAATATTTAATGTATCATTAAGCATACGACGAACGTTACGAAACAATTATAAAATAAAATATGACTCTCCTCACATGCACTTATATCATTTTTAGACGGTGAACTGATTAGAAATGAAACGCTTTGGAATATGAGAAGTAAACGTACAAATAATAGATTCATGAATTAATAAACAGAAAAAGGAATAAGTGAACAAAAAATTGGCCAATGCTGAGTAAAACCTATAGATAAAACGCTTCATGAGCGTATGAACAAAATTTCGTAACATTGCAAATATATTTATCGAATGCACAAAAAACACAAAAAATTTCTCACACTGTCAGTTCTTTGAAATACTGAAATTTTCAAACGTTCTCCAACAAATTTACAGTAGAGTTTATTTTGAAAATATCATTCGAAATGTCAACTTGAATCAGTTATCAAATCTATCAATTACTCACTATTATTATTATTCAATCAAATCTTATAATCGAAATATTCATCGAAATAAAAATAACTATTGTATTTTTATCGCTATTGAACGCACAAAGAAGAATATCAATAAAGTGGATGATAGGTTAACATCAATGATGTTTGCTGTTTAAAAGATACACACCAATAAAACGTATAAGAAGCAGCAGCAGCAACACATCTGTACACTCATATCATATGTTGATTGTTGCAGTGTGATGATGCACTAGCGCTTATTTATACGTCGGACACTTAATCACAGCTAACCAATCACATCTTATCTCTGCATCTTATCGCCTTATCACATCACGTTATCTATACGATTATATTCGACTAATCACAACATCCTTTACCGGCACGGCACATCCACTGTTTCATTCCCATTAAAATCGAAATAGGATTTAGATGGCCAACCGTCTGGTTTAGGCTTGAGTCACGAGCGTTGTCAGGCTCGGGGACCGCTGGGACAGAATCTGGAAGCATTCTTGATTCCTCATAACTGCTCCAAGGACACTTAGAACGGGAGGAAAGGTTGGGGATTTACAAGTTTGTGATCTTCGCGGGGTAGGAGGTAGGGTCAGAAGCTCCCGAAAACTTGTAAGTAACCAAGAGGAAGATGGGGCAAAGCGGGCAAATGAATTCCATTAGTAGATGTATGTTTTGCTAGAAAGCCACCGGATAAAATCACGCTTGAAGGAGGAATCAGTGAGAATAAACAGAAATCGCTCGCACAAGTTACTGCTTTGAAAAATGCGATAGGACGTGATGAACTCGTTTGGTAAATTGTTGATTGGAAAATGATAGATGGAAATGGGGAAAGTACACATGGTGTGTGTACCACTGCGTTTTGCCTTCGTCAAATAACTTCCTCAAACTTTCACTCGTGAAAAACATCTGGAAAATACAATGCAATATTGTTTCCGAGGTCAGTTCTATAGCCTGAACTTAGCATTTGGAAAAACTGACAGCAAAATGGGATGAGATTATCTACCCCAACGTTTCGTCGGAGACGATGCTTTTTTTTGCGCTGTTTCAGTCCGATTCGCTGATTAGCAGCTTCTAACGTTTAGCAATATTTATTTGAGGAGTGGAGAGCTAATTTGAATTTTGTTGGAGTTAAGCTCACCAAAAGTACACCCATAGGCTATGGTTACGCGAGCGGACATGATACAATGTCGTACTCGAAACTATGACTCAAAAATATTCTCTATATAAAATGGTTCAGTGCACATGTCGTCTCAAGAGGGGTGATTCACATAAAAGCTGGCGAGCGAGCACATTATGCATAAAAGAACGAGCTCAGCACCCATCAATGATATTCATCAACTCACTACACAGCAACTGTTCATCTGCTCATACATCAATTCATATGCTTACATTTAAACTTTAATGGGATCAACTTGAATTGATGTAATCAAGTTTGGAAGTAATGTGTGTTAGAAAGCGATTAATGCGAACGCACGTCTCAAGGGAGATAACTCAAGTCTGCATTCGAAATTTCTCATTGTGTGCACGATTTTCTTGCAAGATCTTGCCAAAGAGATCAGTTACGATGGGATGTGAACGTGGCACGTGAACAATACTCGACGAACGTGTTCGTTTGCGAATGATGGTATGGCTCGAGAATATGTAGCGATAATCAGAGCGCAATATCGTGGTGCCATACATTTGGGCTTAGGCTTAGGCTAGGGCTCCTGTCGGGGAACTCCATCAAACTGTTTGATAGGTACGTTACCATGGCATGGCAGAACCACCCGTACGTTTAATTGACACAGTACTTCAACCGCAGTATGAGTCCCAGCCTAAGCCTAAAACCAAATGCAATATCCCACTCTGACTATCGCCACCTCTCGAAAAGCGGTTACGTGGAGTTTTCAGTGTTGCATACTGTATGAAACAAAAATCAGAGAATCTATAAATCTTCGCAGTCAAATCATTTGCTATTTCCATCCAGTCACTTATTCGAGGCTTCTTCAGCTCCTTCATCTTTCTATTACTGAAATGCGATATTATCAGAACTCCTATATAATGAGATGTTGTACTACTTGCCGAGATCTCGCCTCTACCAGACTCAAACTGGACGCCTCCGTGTCCATAAAGAGCCTAGTCGGGATAGGATGTTCAAATTACGTTGAATCTGCCTATTCGTAACTGTTTGCGGCGAATCATATGAGCCGTCAATTATTTTGTTAGTTCTCACTCCCGTACTTTCGAACATGACAAAACCTCAGTTCAGTGTTTCGCACTGTCGTTATGCGTGTGACCGAATCTTCATGCTGTTACTTCAAGAATACACACTAGTTTCAAAATTGATGCATCATTTGGTTTCGAACGAAAGTTTTCCCTGTGAGAAGATTCGATAGTTTCGCAAATTAGTTGTTTTCTAGTGATGTTTATGCTATTAACTGAGTGAGTGACTAATGACTGCATTTGTTCAGTGCTTTTTGCTAACGAGAATAATGTGCATAAACGAGGTGGCATTCAGAAGGAGGATAAAAAAGTCGTTTCGCGTTTGCATCTCAAAGCATTCATCATGAAACATCGAATTCGCCCGTAATCATGACAATTTCACGGATAGAATAGCGTTAATCATCTAATTTTAAGAAGTAATGAACATGAGTCATGATGAAAGTACTCTTTTTCCTAATAAGGGCAAGAAAAATTCAACGGAGTGAATTTTGTTACAGCATAGTCAGATATTTTTATTAAATATTTTTACTTGAGATGTGCATATCACGCGACAGCACCATTCAATTATCCATTTTGTCACTCACTATAATCAGGTAGTCGTATTCAGAGTAATTGATTTAGCCTTAATAGACAGTTTCATTCTGTTTACTTCATTCATTCATTCATTCAGTTGTTATCACTCATTGAAGTCTCATAGTCAGAATAAAGTTTCAAAGGTTGTCTGTAAACGCTTCATTTGAGCACC